TGTGTGTGTGTGTGTGTGTGTGTGTGTGTGTGTCTTTTCTTCCTGTGAAGAGCTAATAGCCGATTACAAACACCATGAGAAATGATTTATCAGCGTATGAACACAGAATGAGCGTATGAGACGGGGACTGTTCAGTAACCAGTTCTGCAGCATCTTTAACTCCATCTAATGATGATACAGCTAAAGACACAACTAAACAACCATAATTTTACTATAATTAAACATTCTATACATTTACTAGTAACACTACACTTCATATATAATGTTACAAATCTCAAATAAATTGGACCATTCATTCTGACTATTGAGACTACAGAAGAAATTCTGAATATGAAATCAAATGTGAGTCTCGATGATTATTCTGCAGACGTTTAACTGAATAACTTGAACTTGTTAAAGAAACACGCCACTATTTTTGAAAATAGGCTCATTTTCCGACTCCCCTAGAGTTAAACAGTTGAGTTCTACCGTTTTCGAATCCATTCAGCCGATCTCCGGGTCTGGCGGTAGCACTTTTAGCTGTAGCTTAGCATAGATCATTGAATCTGATTAGACCGTTAGCATCTCGCTCAAAAATGACCAAAGAGTTTCGATATTTTTCCTATTTAAAACTTGACTCTTCTGTAGTTACATCGTGTACTAAAACCGACGGAAAATGAAAAGTTGCGATTTTCTAGGCCGATATGGCTAGGAACTATACTCTCATTCCGGCGTAATAATCAAGGAACTTTGATTATTTGCAGCGCCTGAAAATAGGTTTATTGGAAGTTACCTAGCTGGGGACTATTTTCAGACGCTGCATAATATCACTGCACCTGCTGCACTCATGGTACGGCAGCAAAGTTCCTTGATTATTACGCCGGAATGAGAGTATAGTTCCTAGCCATATCGGCCTAGAAAATCACAACTTTTCATTTTCCGTCGGTCTTCGTACACGATGTGAGTCGGCGCTTCACTGCAGCTGCCGTTAGAAGTCCCGGTTGCTATAGAAACAGTACTGCGCATGCGCACTTAATGCTATTTGAGCAAAGGAAATAACATTTATGAGACTGTTGCTGTCAGATTTCATTGGTGATTTCAAATATAAACATTTAATCTTAAACTTGGCAAACAGTTTTGGAGAATGGAATGGACTTTTCAGACTATAAAGGTAATAACTAAACTCTTCTTAAAGGCACAATATGTAAGATTTTTTTTATTCAAATATCCAAAAACCACTAGAACAGTGTTATATATTTTGCTCACTTGTGTGCTTACATTATCCCAAATGTTTCGAAGAATGTTTAAATCCAGAGAAATAAGCAATTTTAACTAGTGACACGGAGCGTGTCTATAGTATCGTGTCGCCTGCTAATGACGTCATAACCCCTCGATTTCCGGTTTTGTTTTGTAGAAAACATGGAAACACCAAAGACGCTTTAATATGTTGTGTTTTAATAGACCGGTGACGAGCGCACAGAGTAGCATTATAACAGAACTAAATGTATCTAGTATGATAAAACAGCGCTGCTTTACCCCACATACGCACGACCGGAAGCGGCGGAGGATCATGAGGGGTGCTCATTAGTGTCTTTCTGCATGTGTGGACCTGTCTGTTTCTCTCCGCCGGTCTCTCTCTCTCTCCATCTCCATGAATTTCGTTATTAATCCCGTGAGCTCCGTCTGCAAGCCGTTACCTGTGAACCGCTCCGGGTGCCGTTACTAACGCAAGAGGAGCCTTAAAGGACCAGCTCACCCAAAACATTATCATGTTCTGTGAAACACAAAAAGATATTTAGAAAAATGTCTCTTAAATTTGGAAGTCAGTGGGACCTAGTTCTTCAATTTATCTTCTTTTGTGTTAAATTCTGTATAAGTCATACCGATTTGAAGTACCATGAGGGCGAATAAAGGATGACAGAATGTGTATCTTTAGGTGAACTATTCCTTTAATTAATAATTGTACAGTCAACACACACAGCTGCATCCCTACTGTACTGTACTGTACTCAGAGTGACTCATGAGTGATTCTGAGTCAATGAGTTCTAGTTCAAACTCACTGTGTCATTTATATATGTATGTCATTTGTAGAAGCAGACACACACACACACACACACACACGTTTGTTTTACTATACTTGTGAGGACTTTCATAGACTTCTATTGTTTTTATACTGACCGAACAATATTTTCTATCCCCTCACCCTAGCCCTACCCCTAAACCTACCCCTCACAGAAACCTTTTGGCATTTTTACATTTTAAAATAAACTTCATTTAGTATTTTTAACAATTTATTTCCTTTGTGAGGACCGGCCAAATGTCCTCACAAAGTCAAAAATGTCAGGTTTTACTATCCTTGTGGGGACATTTGGTCCTCACAACTACACACACACACACACACACACAGACACAGACACAGACACAGACACACACAGACACACAGACACACACACACACACACACACACACACAGACACACAGACACTCTCTCACACACACACACACACACACACCACACACACACAGTTTTATTAGGCTTTTCCCAGTAATGTAATAAAGCCCAGTCGTTAAAGCAGCTTGACGTCACGCTGTCATGCCAACCAGCCCACGTTTCATTAAAACACTGCAGCGAGTCCCTTTATTTCAATGAGCAGGAAAACACAGTTCATAATTACACAGAAATCTTACATCAGCTGCTGAAATATCAGGAAAAAAGAACAATTTGTTTATAAAATACATCAATTATATGGTATATTATAAATTATATGTATTATGTATGTGTGTGTTATTTTATCTTTTTATTCACTCTTATGTTATACATTATTTTGATACTATTTTTAGTGTTATATATATATATGTATGTGTGTGTGTGTGCAATGAGGGTGTCGAGTATATTTGAACAGTTCATGCATTCCCTGGGAATCGAACCTATAAGCTCGGTTGCAAGCGGTTTGAGCTCCAGGACTGATCTGTGCCTGAGTCAGACTGACACGTTCATCTGGAAGCACACATGAGCAGTGATCCTCTCACAGGTATCTGCATGAATCCGCCTCCGCTAAACACCCACACACGCGTTATCAGTGCTCCTGATCACAGCCTGCTGAACCAGCCTCAGACACAAACTAAGAGCCAATGATTGACAGGACCAGCCTGTTTGTGCTTCTGGAGAAACGTCTTGCTGGAGCGTCACTTACGGTCAGTGTTGGGCTGAGGGAGGAGTCAGGAACCAGTCCTCCTGTGAACCAGACTGAACACAAGAACAACCCAACCAGCACATGAAGACTCAAGTCTCAGAGTTAGCTGGGTTTGAGCTCAGCACAGTTTGTTTGTCAGACAGGAATCTTGTCGTTATATTCGCACACTCACAGGACGGCTTTGAAGTCGCAGTAACCCTGATGTGAACTTCCTCTGTTCAGATGCCACACGCACAACTGCGAAACTCTGAAAACCACAACACAGTGTTGCTTCGAGAACATTTGCGCAATCCAAGACGCATGCAAATTTCCCACAGCGGGGGGTTTATTGCGTCGGGCATGTTGAAACATCTGCAGAGGATCATGTATGTTCAGTGCGGTCAGATTGTGACGCATGTGAACGCTCTTACTGATTCAATCAGAATTCACACTGATATGATTGAGGCCATCAGCACGCTCATCGACGGCTGTTCGGGTTAAATATTTATCTGTGAGATAACCTGTGAGTTCTGGTAATGGAGCGCTAGTCAGCTAGACAGACACACCTGCGTTTATGAGTGTTTATGACACACAGCAGCTCATAATCTCATGAACTTCATGCAGGGCTTTACCTATTAAGGTGAGAAGCAGTAACTACGCCTGTGTGTGAAGGATGCATCAGCGCAGGGATTTCCCCACAATGCTTCACTAACTGTGTTTGCTAACTCAACCATCGCTATTACTAATGCTCATACTGACCTGAGGCAGTTAAACCAGACTGTGCTATTCTTCTGGTAGATATAAACATGCCAGCAGTTTAATTCACTTTAACTAACTTACTAAGCAAGATTACTCCCTACAAACTGTTAAACACCATAGCAACCACCTAACAACCACCCAGAATACCCTAGCAACCACCTAGCAATCACCAGAACACCCAGCAACCACCTAACAACCACCCAGAACACCCTAGCAACCACCTAACAATCACCAGAACACCCAGCAACCACCTAACAACAACCCAGAACACCCTAGCAACCACCTAACAATCACCAGAACACCCAGCAACCACCTAACAACCACACAGAACATCCTAGCAACCACCTAGCAACCACCAGAACGCCCAGCAACCAACGAACAACCACCCAGAACACCCTAGCAACCACCTATCAATCACCAGAACACCCTAGCTACCACTTAACAACCACCCAGCAACCAACTAACAACAACCCAGAAACCCCTAACTACCACCTAACAACAACAACAACCCAGAACACCCTAGAAACCATGTAACAACAACCCAGAAACCTTAGCAACCACAGAAAATGGCCTAGTTATCATATAACAACCACCCAGAATGCCCTAGCAACCATCTAACATCTTAGCGACCACAAACAGCAACCTAGTAACCACCTAACAACAACCCAGAACACCCTATCAACCACCTAACAACAACGGCAATCACCCAGAATGCCCTAGCAACCATCTAACAACTTAGAAACCACTCAACAGCCTAGCAACCACCTGACAAAACAACCCAGAAACCGTAGCAACCACCCAGAATCCCCTAGCAACCACCCAGACCACCCTAGCGACCACATCAAAACAACCCAGAACACCCTAGCTACCTCCTAATGACAATCCAGAACACCCTAGCAACCACCCAGAGCATCGCAGTGGTTCTGGACCTCAAGATGATAGAATGATGTAAAATAACACAAAACAAGCATTAAAGTAAGAACTGAAATCAAGAGATTTTAAGCCATGTAAATGAGTGTGACTGTTGTATTTGTCTAGTTATGCAAAGCTGTAAACTATGTTATGGTGTAGAACATGTGAACATCTATTCATTACACAGCTAAAGCAGTGGATCTGAGCAAAACATGATCAGACACATTCATCAGTGTGTGTGTGTGTGTGTATGTATGTGTGTATCAGTGTGTGTGTGTGTGTGTGTGTGTATCAGTGTGTGTGTGTGTGTGTGTGTGTGTGTGTGTGTGTCTGTCTGTGTGTGTGTGTGTGTGTGTGTGTTCTAAATAGTTGTAATTTATTTTTATTTCTATTTTAGTTCATTTTATTTCAGTTAATAATTTTATTACTTCACTTCAACTTTATTTTTAATAGTTTTGGTAAATGATACCAACACTGTTGTATATAAATAAAGCGATCACATAGTACTGTGAAATTATCATTTGATATCATGGTACCATTTCAGTACATCTTTAAAGGTTTATGCAGTGTCAGTACACAGAGTTGGAGGGTGAGGATCCTGCTTGTGGTGGTTTAGTGTGTGAGAGTGTGTGTGTGTGTGTGTGTGTGTGTTTGGATGTCTATGAGTGTGTGTGTGTTTGTTTGTGTCTATGAGAGTGTGTGTGTGTGTGTGTGTGTTTGTGTCTATGAGTGTGTGTGTGTGTGTGTGTGTCTATGAGTGTGTGTGTGTTTGAGTCTATGAGTGTGTGTGTGTGTGTGTGTTGGAGGCGCTTCATTAGCAGCAGGGCAGGACGTGGGAAGACCTGAGATCTTTGACAGGGACACACTGTGAGATTCTCACCGCTCCCACTGACCGTCTTCACACTCGCACCGTCATCGTGAAACATGGCACTGAATATTCAGCTGTAAACACACACTCGTTCAGCAGACAGATGAAGGAGAACACGAGGCCTCGGGCTGAAAGTTCATCAGATAAAACACTGTCTGATTCACGCTAACGTTATGAAGCATCTCGGAATCAGCAAACCAGGAAAAGTTTTGAATGATGGGATGAATATTTAAACAACTTTCATTGAGCTTTCCCTGCTTTTCATTTCAAATTATAATTTGATCAAAATAATAAAATATCCCTATAATAAATTATGAAATAAGAAATGATACCAAAAACTGTAAGAAAATGATTTAAATGTTAGTAATAACATTTCCAAACTTTTGTCTGTATTTATAAGGCTTTTATTGAGGTTTCACTGCTTTTATTAAAATATAATATTATCTAAACTACAATCCGACCATTTTTTAATAGAAAATTAGTTTTGTTTTTAACAATTATAATAAATATTCCTATAATAAATTCTGAAATAATTAATGCCAAAATACAATGGTTTCAATATGAATATAAATAGCCAAGAATATATCAGTTTCAGTTTTATTTCAGCAGAACTTTATGGCCTATAGGTGCTGTTTCTTGTAATTGATGGTTGTGGCGCCACCACGTGTTCAAACTCAGAAACACAATTCACTCAGACTAGAGAAAGACATTCACATCACACCAACATAACACAACATCACATCTTTAATAATGCAAATGCAAACCAGTATACAGTGCTTTCTTCACGTGTAGAGGTTACTCTGAACACATGAGTGTGTAGAGCTGCGTAGTAACTATTCTTCATGTGATCCAGAATAGCAGCAAAGAAAACGTAGTCACATTTGGTCATGCTGCAGAATGATAATCACAGTTACGATCATGATTTGAGAAATGACATCAGAATTATTGCACCTATAAGCACAAATCAAGGGAATGTCACTCATACTGGACCTCATCTAGTTTCCTGAGTTATTATCAGAAATAGAAACACACGTAAAACTCAAAAGCGAAAACAGTGGCATTCCAATAATAATGTCCAATAATTCATGCCATTTCTTGAAAACAACAACAAAAAGGGCTTTGTATTATGGCACAGATGTGCCTCGACTGCAAACAATACAGTCGCGATCATGTTTGGATTGATCGCAGTTCGTCAGTGAGAAGGTTTGCTCACATCACAAACAACCATGCGAGGAGACAGACTGGCTGGAGCACAATGTGTCAATAAAGATCACTGAACTCCAACACTGTCTGTGGATGTTCACAGATCATCAGCGCTAAGAGAGAGAGATCGTGTGCCAATGGTTGCCAGGTTGGGAAAATAAAGTAAACATTGGGCAGAAAAGAAAGAAGCTCTGATTGGGGGATTTCAGCTCTTGAAATCTGGCAACCACAAACATGAAAACTCAGAGAAAACGTGAAAACTTTTTGTTGTAAAAGAGAAATTTCTCTAGACAGATCATCAGCGCTAAGAGAGAGAGAGATCGTGTGCCAATGGTTGCCAGGTTGGGAAAATAAAGTAAAACACTGGGCAGAAAAGAAAGAAGCTCTGATTGGGGGATTTCAGCTCTTGAAATCTGGCAACCACAAACATGAAAACTCAGAGAAAACGTGAAAACTTTTTGTTGTAAAAGAGAAATTTCTCTAGAGAGTTTTTAATTTTTTAAAACTACATTTTAGTCTTTTTTCGTCAGCGAAATTGCATGTTGATATAGTCACAGTTAGCACATGTCAGTCTTGTCTCGTCTTGATCACCAACGAATATTTTTGGTCACAGTTATCGTTAATAGATGAGCACTGTTCCTCACCGATGGACTGTGTTACTTTCTGCTGGTACAGGACACAGGACAGCTCTGCGGGGTCTACAGATGCCATTTCTTGAAAACAACAACAAAAAGGGCTTTGTATTATGGCACAGATGTGCCTCGACTGCAAACAATACAGTCGCGATCATGTTTGGATTGATCGCAGTTCGTCAGTGAGAAGGTTTGCTCACATCACAAACAACCATGCGAGGAGACAGACTGGCTGGAGCACAATGTGTCAATAAAGATCACTGAACTCCAACACTGTCTGTGGATGTTCACAGATCATCAGCGCTAAGAGAGAGAGAGATCGTGTGCCAATGGTTGCCAGGTTGGGAAAATAAAGTAAACATTGGGCAGAAAAGAAAGAAGCTCTGATTGGGGGATTTCAGCTCTTGAAATCTGGCAACCACAAACATGAAAACTCAGAGAAAACGTGAAAACTTTTTGTTGTAAAAGAGAAATTTCTCTAGAGAGTTTTTAATTTTTTAAAACTACATTTTAGTCTTTTTTCGTCAGCGAAATTGCATGTTGATATAGTCACAGTTAGCACATGTCAGTCTTGTCTCGTCTTGATCACCAACGAATATTTTTGGTCACAGTTATCGTTAATAGATGAGCACTGTTCCTCACCGATGGACTGTGTTACTTTCTGCTGGTACAGGACACAGGACAGCTCTGCGGGGTCTCCAGATCCATGGCTCCGCTCGTTCCACAGCGAGACCCATCCGACCGCGGTCCAGCCGTCGGAGCCCAGTGCGTACGCCAAGACGAAACCTGAAAAACAGGAGCGCCGCGGCTCAGACGGAGGACCGTGTGAAGGATCTGCAGCATCTAGAGTCGGACGGCTCACCTGCGGCGTTCGGACCCACAGCGATGATCAGATCCGAACACAGCACCGGTCCGCCATCCGTCTGAGAGAGCCAATGAACGTGAACGGACCTGAAAGAAAGCAGAAACTCAGATCAGACATTATATATATATATATATATATATATATTCACTTAATAAAGCATCAGAAACACGTGATCAATATATGCAGCATCAGAAACACGTGATCAATATATGCAGCATCAGAAACACGTGATCAATATATGCAGCATCAGAAACACGTGATCAATATATGCAGCATCACAGAAACACGCGATCAGTATAAAGCATCAGAAACACGTGATCAATATATGCAGCATCAGAAACACGTGATCAATATATGCAGTATCAGAAACACTTGATCACGTCGGATCTGCTCATCTTCCTCGTTTCCATTCGTCATATCATCATACTCATTCTCTTCAGCAGCTCTTGAGTACACCGATAAAACTTCACAGAAAAATGTCGCCATATTAGATGAATTATCAGATTAATTTATTAAATACAACTCAAAGCTGCTGCGTAATGTTCGCTGCTCAGGTATTAACCCGACACACACACCGGAAGTAGTGGCTGCAGTTTTTTACTTTTATTTTGTTTTCAGCTTTAGTCAGCTCTAACCCTGTGACAATCCGTGTGGAAAAACTTTAAATAAATAAATAATATTTATTATTATCAGTAAATATGTTGTGATGAATCACAATTCACAATTCAGAATCTCACTTTCATTGTCTCATCATCAAATACACAGAAGTGGTGTTTTTTTTTTATTGTACACTGGGGGGAAAAAACAGGTCATAGGGCCTAGCTGCTTAAAGTGGTCAAAACTAGTTTATCAGTCAAAGATTTTGGAACACGGTTAACCAGTTGTTTTCTTTACCAGTTGAGCTCCTGGTTGATCAGGCACTAACTAGTGCTGGGAAAGAAAGACATAAAGATAGTAGTTAACTGAGCAGCCGCTGACAAATACATCCAATTATAAATACATTTGATGAACCCGGAGAGAGAGACTGATCAAAAATAAAGTAGGAATTGTGAGAAAAGTTTGTAGGATAAGAAGGGACGATATCTCAACTTCATATTGAACACACAGCTTTGGATCAAAAGGAATATAAAGGAAAATATAAAGAATCAGCAGGCCCAGATTAAGAACACAAAGGGCCCTGGGGCTATAGAAAACCCAAGGGCCCCCTTCATAGTAGCCTATCTTGATGCACTTTCTACCACTGGAATAATTTGTGTTTTTTAACAAATCAAGTCTACAACAGAGATTCAGTGATTATGCACACTAAATATTCCAGGCTACAACACATTAAAAGAATAAATACATGAACACCAGATGTTTGAAGTCACTAAAGCAGTTTACTTTAATCCATTTTATAATTAGAAAGTCTTCTTTCTTACTGGTGTTAGGGCAATTGGAATAAATTAATTATTTATTAATAAATAAAGGATTGGAACGAATAATAATACTTCAAAAGCATTTAATATTCCATTATATTGCAGGAACTTAATTATTGAATTCATATTTTTCTGCTGTTAAAGTTTATTAGAACTATTCAATTCTCCTTTGTAGTGGCCCTAATGAAAAGCTATTGTAATTCTTGAGTCCAGTGTTAACTGTATAGTCAGGGACGGACTGGGAGTAAAAAACGGCCCTGGATTTCCCCCCAAATAGGCCACACCACAACTACAAACAGCCGCTACTATCTCACAGTATTACAGCAGTCAATGCATCGCATTTATGGTAAATTAGTAGAGTTTGAGCGGTACATTAAAGCTGTCGTAAGTAAGGCTGATCTGAGATCAGTAGAGTTTGAGCGGTAAATTAGAGCTGTCGTCAGAGACTCTGATCTGAGATCAGTAGAGTTTGAGCGGTACATTGGAGCCGTCGTCAGTGAGTCTGATCTTAGATCAGTAGAGTTTGAGCGGTACATTAGAGTCATCGTCAGTGAGGCTGATCTGAGATCAGTAGCGTTTGAGCGGTACATTAGAGCCATCGTCAGTGAGTCTGATCTGAGATCAGTATAGTTTGAGCAGTACATTAGAGCTGTCGTCAGTGAGTCTGATCTGAGATCAGTAGAGTTTGAGCGGTACATTAGAGCAGTCGTCATAGAGTCTGATCTGAGATCAGTAGAGTTTGAGCGGTATATTGGAGCCATCGTCAGAAACTCTGATCTGAGATCAGTAGAGTTTGAGCAGTACATTAGAGCCATCGTCAGTGAGTCTGATCTGAGATCAGTACAGTTTGAGCGGTACATTAGAGCTATCGTCAGAGACTCTGATCTGAGATCAGTAGAGTATGTTCGGTACATTAGATCTGTCATCAGTTAGTCTGATCTGAGATCAGTAGAGTTTGAGCGGTACATTAGATCCTTCGTCAGTGAGTCTGATCTGAGATCAGTAGAGTTTGAGCGGTACATTAGAACAGTCGTCAGTGAGTCTGATCTGAGATCAGTACAGTTTGAGCGGTACATTAGAGCTGTCGTCAGAGACTCTGATCTGAGATCAGTAGAGTATGTTCGGTACATTAGATCTGTCATCAGTGAGTCTGATCTGAGATCAGTAGAGTTTGAGCGGTACATTGGAGCCATCGTCAGAGACTCTGATCTGAGATCAGTAGAGTATGTTCGGTACATTAGATCTGTCATCAGTGAGTCTGATCTGAGATCAGTAGAGTTTGAGCGGTACATTAGAGCAGTTGTCAGTGAGGTTGATATGAGATCAGTAGAGTTTGAGCGGTACATTAGATCCATCGTCAGTGAGGCTGATCTGAGATCAGTAGAGTTTGAGCGGTACATTAGAGCCATCGTCAGTGAGGCTGATCTGAGATCAGTAGAGTCTGAGCGGTACATTAGAGCAGTCGTCAGTGAGGTTGATCTGAGATCAGTAGAGTTTGAGCAGTACATTAGAGCCATCGTCAGTGAGTCTGATCTGAGATCAGTAGAGTTTGAGCAGTAAAAGCGTCTGCTAAATGACTAAATGTAAATGTAAATGTAAATGTACATTAGAGCAGTCGTCAGCGAGTCTGATCTGAGATCAGTAGAGTTTGAGCGGTACAGTAGAGCCATCGTGAGTGAGTCTGATCTGAGATCAGTAGAGTTTGAGCGGTACATTAGAGCAGTCGTCAGTGAGTCTGATCTGAGATCAGTAGAGTTTGAGCGGTACATTAGAGCCGTCGTCAGTGAGTCTGATCTGAGATCAGTAGAGTTTGAGCGGTACATTGAGCGGTACATTATCCCCCAATTGTAAGTCGCTTTGGATAAAAGCGTCTGCTAAATGACTAAATGTAAATGTAAATGTAAATGTAC